GTATATGGAGTCATAAGTTTCACCTTGAAGACGCACTAGCTTTCCAGTAGCAGCTGAGACGTAACCAGGGCTTGGTGGCTGATCACTTGTTGCCAGATGACTAGCGGTGTCGCAGCCTTTCTGGTTTGTCGTACGTCGCCTCAGCTCAAGACCGCAGTGTAACCATGGTTTGAGGCATATGTCCTCAAAGTAGTTGAGCCCTGTATCCACTTGGGAGTGTATGCTGAGTTTACTTGTAATTCTATGGTTTTAGTTTTGGATAGTGGCATGCATGGGCAGCTTACAGTGTCACGCCGACTTATGCACCTATGGATCCTCGCCTGGCTTGTCCGAGTTGTGAGAGTGTAAACCCATGTGCGAGTGTGAGACTCGAAACCCATATAGTCGGCTAGTCATTATACTCCCTCTAGGACCTTCATTCTTTACCCGACATCTGTCTTGGCCTCCTTGACGTAGTCATTGAAATCCATTAACTAGATATTGTGACGTCTGGATTTTGATGAGGGTTGGGATCTCCCCCAAGTTAGCAGGTTGTAGCTTTTATGGCTTTTTGTTGTTGTGATCCTAAGCTCCTGAGCTTGGTTTCACTAATTCGCGGTGCTTGCCTCGCCTGGATTGTCCGAGTGTGAGCACCGAAACCCACATAGTCAATAGTCACTGGTCAGCGCCGCGTTTCTCTAGGTTCTGGTCGATGTTGGAGGACTTCCCGGAGGAAAGACCTTGGAGCCCAAGTGCCATGTCGTGCGTTATGTGAGCTTATTATTCACTTCGTGTCAGTTGCCCGTGTTGTGTCAGCTCGCTCAGAACTGTACAGCTGGCTATATTCATCACCAAGGCGATCGGGAGTGCTTGCAAGTCTTGATCATGGCACGCGCCCCTGGTCCTGATCTGGGATATGTCGGCTATGTTTAGATAGCAAAATATTTTCCTGCGTTGAGATGCGCAGCAAGGGCTGTGTAACGATGAAGTGCAAGATTACGGCACGCAGCCATTGCTGCAGATTTGGGACTTTCCGAAAATTAGGGTACCTTATTTTGGGGTCCTTATAATAAGGAACCTATTATTTAGGGTACTATATTAGGGTCCCTATTTTTGGAAACCCCCTTTTAGGTATCCGTGAGTAACCACTCGAGCCTTCTCCGGCAGAAGCGATGTGGGACTTGTAAGCACAGTTGTAGAGCCCTGCTTCAAAAACCTGTAGGCATTGTAAGCACAGCGACTCAGGTCGTGTTGGCCTAGATTTCGGAATCGACCTCCATGGAAAAGGTTTTGTATCGAGTCGGTAGCCCCGGTCGCTACTCCGAAATCAGTGTCAGCCTGGTTTGCAAGCGAAGCCTGGGAACAACCCCAGCCTCAGACCGAAGAGCATAAGCCCAGGCCAAGATCAATGACTTCAATTTTCAACAACACACCCCGCTCACGTTTATCGCCTCCGAGGCTTCTTCGCTGGCGTCAGGGACAGTAGGATAACCGCAGCGGTGCTAAGAAATAGGGTCTCAAGTTCAGTATAGTCACAGGAGGGTTGCAAACTGCCGTCGGGCTGAAACCCTTTTCGTGCAATGCGATATCACGGTGGGGTTGAAGTCTTCTTGCTTTCGTTTCACCCAGAGAAGCAAGGCAGAGCCAAGTAACAAGAGGAAGATGCCCAGAGCCCAGAACAGTGCAGATCCGGCTGTGTGTTTCGGAGTGGCTCAGATCAAAGAAGCCCGAAAACTCGAAGAGCTCTTCTGCGACTGCGGCTTCTTAGTTTAGTGTTCAGTGTTCGGAGGCTTCAAAGGTCTGCTTTCAATCCGCGAACGTCGAACCCGGGAGGACCTGCGCCCCAAGAACGCATTACAGTCTCCATACTGCGTTATCACCCAATCCGAAGAAACCATCAAAAAGTCAAGTTAGGTTCGGACCTCAAAGGGGTCATTGTAAGACAGGCGATCGATGACGGCGATTCTTGTAAAATCCTCCAGATTCTACTGGAGGCCGACGGCACCGCACAGAGATTCTGAGCTGGGCTAATCTGTGTTTTCAACTGTGGGGCTGATAGGGATAATGTTTTCAGGGTTGTAGGCTGTAGGGGTGAAATTGCCATTTGTTTTTTTGGGGCATTGGTTAGTGTTTCAGAGACAAGTTGCCGGAAGGGCTGTGGCGACGAGTGTGTTTTGAGGGTTCATCTTTTCGGAGATGCCAACATGGTAGCTGAGTAGATAACCTTTAGCCATTCGGGGCTTATATAACCCCACCATAGTTGACAAGGTTAACTTTTTTGGGCGAGGGTACGCAGCGCTTAGAGAAAGTAGTGGAAAGACCACATCGGCTTGAAGCATGCAGGCCGGACTCTTTGAGTGAACGATGGTTGTTGGTTCCCCAGAGAATCCCTTTCACCAATGGTGCTAGGATGATCTTCCCAGCAGCTAGCGTTTAACAACAGCTTCGTTAGTTGTGTCATGTTGGCAGCGCTCCTGCACATGGTCTCTGCTGAGCCAACCCTGGCCCACAATCCGGTTGAACGGGAACGCTGCAAGATTTCTTTGGCCTTGCACTGCAGCTTTCGCCTTAAATTCAGAGTCCCCGATGCCTACACCGCGAGTGCCTTGGCTTCTCGTCAGGGCAACGCAGATCCAGACCGGTTCGACCAGGACGGGTTTTCGGCTCTGCACTACGCAGCTGCCGGTCTGCAACAGAACGCGTGCCTTGTGGCCCTGTGATGGTATTAGAAAAGTCTTGGGTTTAGGGCCACAGGATATACCTAGCACGTCATGTGTTTTATGGGACATGAAAATCTCTGCAAGACAGAAAATTGACGTGTAGGCTGGTTAGGTGACTACAAGTGCGTCACAGTTCCAGCGACAGCAGCTCCGGCCATGGTTTTGCCTTTGCGACATGCAAAGACTGTCTCGACCTTCCTGAAAAAGCTTCGTCAGGGAAGAAGTCAGGTGGGCCTATCGAGCAAACCATCGAGCCATCCTGCTTCCTGGGCCATTGAAGCCTAAGCTAACACCGTGGAAATAGCACTGTATGATGATTTTCGATGCTTCGTGGTGTATAATAAACACCTCTATACGTAACGACTCAAACAGTCGTGACACGCAGCAGACTTACCCACTCGCTGCAAAACTTCCCGCTCCGTGCAAGGTAAAGTACGGCCACCAGCAGATGACACGCCGGCTGCGCGGCAGATAAGTTGCATGGGGGTCCGAGTTTCAGTGGTTGCACACAAATGCGCCGCAATGTCTTTTTGACGTGGCTTTAGGAGGCATTGAGCCGAGGTGAACGGGTCGAAATATGAAGGGATCGAAATATATATAGAGTTTCTGACTGAGTCTTGAATGCCCGGGAAGTCTTACAGTCCTTGGACACAGCTGGAAGCCATGAAGCACCCAAGCTGGAAAGAGGAGATTCTGGTGACCCTAATCTTCTCGACGAGTTGTATCGTCAATGCATTAAGTGTGACTATGCCATGGTGTATTCTGCCACGATGATTACATTTGCTAGTGCTCTTATCATGCCTTTTGCCTGACTGAGCTGAGGTGCATAGCCCTGTAAGGAAGTACTGTTTCCGATATTTGTCATCTTTGCCGAATTGAAATGCCTTCGTCGTAGAGGCAGGACCATGATCATGATGATGGCACGCCGTTGGTATGCTGATTTCGGTGATTCGTCAGCACCGTCACACATTATGCAGCAGGAGCAGCAGCAGCCCCAGTCGAACAAGAATGAGGACATGTGATTCTTGTGACGCTTACATATTCCACCCTGAGGCTGATCCACAACAGGGCGACTGTCGACATCGCCGTCGGCCAGCCCACCCGATACTTCGGCACTTGGATCGACACAAGTGCGTCTTGATGTTTCTTGACAAAGGTTCTGATGCTGGCGTGGGTGTGTTTTTGGTGCTGCGTATACTGTACGGTTCGCATCCAGTCGCAGACACTGGCCGATTTCGGTATCACAGTGGCCTTTGATTGATCCCAATGTTCCACCGGCGCGAAGCGACCCTGCACCAGGCAAAACGGCGCTCACCTTCGCCATTGAGCAGAGCGACACCCCGCTTGTGTCTACGTACACACGCTGCACTTAGCAATGCCTGTTCATGCAGTCGGGGTATGTTCAGCAGACAGACGTGGCCACGGTTCGCGCGTTGCCGGCCACTGCACTTTGGGCTCGGGGCTTCTTGGAGGGATGTCGGTTTTCCTTCGAGATGCAACCTTCAGTTTGGATGGCAGCGCAGTGATCTTGTAGCGCTGCACCCTATTTTTCCTGCTATGCTTGAGACATTGCGCCCGCCATGCATGTCAAAATGCCCGCGCAGGATGCTGGATCATGGGTGTTGTCACTAGCCGTCGCAAACTAGAGCTAGATGATGAGGCCACTGAACACTCATGCCCACGAGGCCACATCAGCAGAGCCAGTGAATATTTCGAGACGTTCCCCACACAATACCCTCAGCCACTAAAAACCGATATTTCGAGCCTGGTCAAAAGTGAGCCCCATGATGACTGAAGTTGCTGTACCCTGGTGTTCAATCTTCAGTTCAGGCTTCTGCAGCTGTTTGCCGATGTGCAGCGCCTTAGCTTGCAGTTGTGACGGTAACTTGGGAGATCCCAAAGAATGCGGCTAAAGACACAGATGCCTCTTGAAGGGCATCAACGAGCCCACCCAGGGTGAAAGACGCAAGGCGCCACAATACCGGCGAAGTAGTCCAGCGGTTGACGGGATTCGCAATCGTGCGGAACCGCTGCTGTTGACCTGTGTCGAGCGTTGCTTGAAAGATACTTGAAACTACAGTTGCATGTGCCGAAGTGCCGGGTACATATCAGCGTCCCAATTTCGTTTTGAAGGACTGCTACTCGAAGATGCCTGACCGCAGGTTCATTGATTCCTGATTCAGTGCACACATTGGGCCTGTAACTTGCTGCCGCTTCTGCGCTACTTCCGCTTCTGCGCTACTTTTTTTAAAAGGGCGAGAAGGACGGCCATACTGTGCTCATGCATGTTATCCTGACCCTACCAGCCCTGAGCTTCTCCAGTCAGGAAGGCGCTGGAATGGAGCACCCTCCCGCTCTGGCAAGCCATGGTCGGGCCGAGATATGAGGAGGCGATTAGGGTCGGAGCTTTGAAGCTCGGGCTTCGTGGGCAGTGGGACTGAGCTTACTGCATCACAACAGCTGCCTGCCGGTGTGTTGCGTTGTTTTGGTTTCTGGCGCATGTCTTTGCAAAGTACGATGACTTGTTTGTGACAGCCTTGGCTTTGAACGATTCCCGAGCGACATCCCTCTCGACTCAAGTGCAGTAGTAGCAGGAGTCGTCGTCGTTGTAGACGTCGTAGTCGTGGTCGTACAGTAAGTAGTCGTCTTCGCAGATGTCGTCAGTCGTCGTCGTAGTAGCAGTAGCAGTAGTAGTAGTAGTAGTAGTAGCAGCAGCAGCAGCAGCAGGAGTAGTCGTCGTCGTGGTGGTGGTGTGGTAGCCTGATGGTCGTAGTAACGTATAAGTAGGATAGTGGTAGTACTAATCGTCGTCGTAGCTACAGAAGTTACCGCAATATCATCGTCGGCTGTGTGAAGGGCCTAGCCATTCAACTGAGATGAGATGCCTGTATAAGCCTACGGACAGAGAGGGTCGTGGCTAACAAGGTTGCAAATCCTGAGCCATGTGGTGCAGACCGAAGCAGAAACCTGCACAAATCAACTCCAAAGTATCAGAATCGTCCCAGGGCCGCCTCGTCCTCTTTTCCAAAGCCTCCTCAGGTGAGGCAGCTGCTTCAGGACGCTCACCGCCTTGCCATGATAAGTGGGTCCGGAACCTACAGAACCTTACCCTCAGAGCTAAACTTGTGGAGACTTTGGCTTTCGATCCAACGCATGACGATGCACAGCGGATTACCCAAGTCCTGAATGCCACCAAAGCCCGCAGGCCCGACAGCGTCTTTCAACAAAACAAAGTTGCACGTTCAAAGCAGGAAAGCATCCTGAATCCCCTTTGCACCTTCAGCTGTCGTTCTATGTGCGAGATGTCATGAGACGCCCAGAACAGAGATGACGCTGCAGGACATTGATCGTGGGGCTTCAAGCTGGAAGCTAGGTCAATCTTGGGGGCATCTCATGGGCCACAATGGGTAAGAGAGCTCAGTTGAACACGTGGCGACGTTTGGGGTTTGGCTAGGCCGCGCAACGGCAGAAATGGAAGATGGGCACAAAGGATTCAGCCTTTACCCGTTTCCTACAGACGGGGCTGTTCAATACAATAAAAGATCAGAGCCTTGCACATGCTTCAGGTCCGAGGAGGACCGCGTAGCCAGACAGCAGCGCGAGGAGTTTCAGAATGCGGAGGGACCAATTGCTGCGCTGCAGCACCTTGGCCACGGCTTTGGTGTTTTGTTGTAGGCTTTGTACTTAAGGTTGCGGGACCTTGCGGGCGCAGGCTTTAGTATGAAGATGCGGGGTTTGAGATTCAAGGTTTCGGATACGGGGTTGGTATCTATTTAGGTTGTTGTTTTTGTGGGTGGGAGTTTGGAGTTCAGCATGTAGAGTTTGCGCTCTCCTAGGCCTGCCGTCGCCATGAGGATGCCAGCCATCTGCGTAGATACTTCGCTCGTCCATGTCGACGTCACGAAGGTGCAGGTGCGAGGTAGAATCAGGGTAGAAGCTTCACTTACACTTCGTATGTGGTGAGTTCACTTAAGAGGTTCGGGTCTGGAGTCGAGGGCTTCAGGTTTACATTCCCAAAGGGTCCAAGTTGTAGTATAGTATATACTTTGGGGGCCCAAATACCTACAAAGTAGCTACCATATTAGTACTTGGACCCTTTGGGATTAAGGTGTAGGGTCTGCGGCTTGGTAGTTACTTGGTAGTCTGTGCTGCTTGCGAGATTCGCCTTCTTGGAATTTGGGTCAGCCCGCAACGACAGCAGCAACAGCGCATAAGTTCAAGGATCTTTCGTTACTCGCGGCTCGCCAAGTCACGTCGCTGAAACCTAAACCTTCAGACAGAGTCGTTATGATGTGCTGTAGTTGAGACAGAGACCTTGTCTGGCGGAGCCCGAGTTGCGAAAGCGTAAACCTTCAGACAGCGCTTGTTGAACCGAGTACTGAGTAACAGGTCAGCTTCTCCCGACCGGACTCGCAATGCAGGTGTCGGTGACCTATGATCCATGCGATTGAACGACGCAGTATTCGCTGTTTCACCTCGAGGAGTGCAACTCATCGCATGGGTGCCCAATGGGCGCTCGCAGACTGAGTCTCCACTGCCAAGTTATGAGTCCCTGGTTTGTTGCAGAGGTGTGCCGGGCAAACCGTGATCTCACAACAATTGTTGAAGACACAGACACAGAAATCCTCAGGAATTCATATCTTCTCATGGCAATCCTTTGCACATGATGCAAGGTGCCCACAAGTAGCAGACGCTTTCTTTTCTCGACATTGTCGCGAACTGTTGTCCAAGCTTCCACTGGCTCTTCTGAGATGCAGGGTGGAAGTCGAAATCGTTCCAGGCCTTCCTCCTTTGCTGTTGTTCATCTTGCATGGGTGGTTTTCAAATCATGTCGCTTCTTCCCGTACCGTTTTACGGTAAGTGCTTGTTGAGTTCTGCGCTTTGGAAGGAGGCCTTGAGCTGCAGCATATCAGCTTCATGGTAGATTGTATGCCCCCAGCCCTGGTTCGCAAGTCCCAGGGTCTGGGCTTAGGGCTTCGTGCAAAAAGGTCATGCAGATCTGTTCCAGTGTAACTCTGAGGGTTCAGGGTCTCGGGTTT